CTTTAGAGGCGTGCCTCAATAAATAAGCCAAATGATTTATCCAGAATAAATTGAAATGCCATTGGTTTAATTTAGTGTACTGGGAGAACGTTCCTAATATTGAGTCCAAATGGTGTGGTTGTTTTAAGTAAAAGTTCCCGGTGATTCTCATTATCTTTGCGATTTTTGTGAATTGCAATCACTCTGAAATTTAAAATTGAATGACCAGCTAAATTGAAATTTCGGCTACTGGTTGATCTGGTTGATCAAGCTTAGACGTCCTGATAGCTGATCTATGTTGTGTCATTCTCATACGGAGAGTGTTTTTTGTTTCTCCGACATATTGTTTACCACAAATATTACAATATATGAGATAAATGACATTTTTGGTGAGGCAATTAATTGATTGCCTTATCCGAAATATGTGGTTTGTTTGGTTGCTCTTGAATGATTGTGTAGAATCAAGCAAGGAGCATGTTTTGCATGATGAACCACAAAGATGACTACCCAAATTATGGTTGTCGTAAGAGTTAGTTTGCCTCTTGAATTTAGATCGTACTAATATATCACAAAGGTTAGGTGGTCTGCGATAGGCTATGAACGGTGTATCCGGAAAAACAGACCTAAGACGTTCTGTGGTCTGTAGAATGGGCATATGTTTCTGAATTATAGCCCTTAGTGGTGGTAACTTAGGGTGATAGGTAGTGACCAGTGGCACTCTGGTCGATCGTTCACGTGGTTTGTACGTCAGTGTTTGAGCACAAGGTATGTCCTTTGCTTTTTTTTATAGCATTTTCAATGGGTCCTCGATGATAATTTCTATTCCGGAGATGTCCGGATAGTTCTTCTGTTCGATTCTGAAAATCTAACTCTGAAGAACAAATGCGTCTCATGCGCAATGCTTGGCTGTACGGAATGTTTTTGTACAGTGCGGGGGGTGACAGCTGCTAGGGAGCAGGTACATATGCTTATCCGTGGGTTTACGGAAGAGATCAGTTTTAAGTGCACCATTTTCCATGGTCACGGTGATGTCCAAAAAATCTACACTGCTTGTGGATTTGTTAGCAGTGAATTTGATTGTGGGATGAGCCGAATTAATGCTCAATAGGAACGTATCCAAACTATCTTCACCATGGGTCCAGATCATGAAGATATCATCAATGTAACGAAACCAAACATCTGGTTTCTTGGGCTGTAGGGACAGGAAATTGGCCTCAAATATATAAGTTATAAGTTAGCAAAAGATGGAGCCATTTTGGTGCCCATCGCTGTGCCATGAATTTGAAGGTAATGACCGTCGCCGAAAACAAAGTTATTATTGGTCAGAATCAGCATGATAAGTTCACGGAGATGTGATTTAGA